GCAACGTGCGTTGTAAACAAGATAACAATAAATGTTCGACCCCGTGTAATAGAAACTATTTTGCATCGAAAAAAGAACTACAAATTCGATATAAAATTCCTTTGTCAAAATAACCAAACCCCCACCCCTCTCGTAAGTAGTAAAGCGAGGGCACAATAAAACGTGCGCGGATAATACCAATCTATTTGCTTTCCATTAAAGACCTCCTGGTACTTTAATGCTGCATGGCATGATATATTTTCTGACATTTACCGAAGCTCAATAAAAAAATTAAATTGCATAACACATATATACAATGTGGTGCAAGTGCTCCCAAGTGGTCTCGGGTTCCTTTAAAACGATGTGAGCAAATCAATTTTGGAGAAAAGTATCTGCGCGATTTAGTTACGAGACTCTAGCGTTACTTTTGAGTCTAGCGATTTAGATACGAGACTCGTAGACTCTAGCGTTGACCACAGCAGGCAGACGGATGGACAGACAGACGTTTTGTCATCAATCCACTTTTCGGTATCAAGGTCCAACAAAAATGGATTTCGACTACACAGCGTGTTGAAGGAACTAATTTACTATATATATATATATATATATATATATATATATATATATATATATATATATATATATATCCATATACACTCATACATACATACATAATTTAACCACTCTCTCTTTACCAGGGCCCGGCAATATTCTGGAGCCCGGAAGATTTTCTGTCGATATATAACTTTATCTTCCCCCGCCGCATTACAATACTTTCTCACTACGTAAGCAATGAGAGAGGATAAATGTAATATTTGACACAAGTCTTTTTGTATCAAGGGAGTCGATTGAGCAATTTCACGATGGTAATGTCAATTATCAAAAAAATGCCGCTGCGGACAGGACTCGAACCTGCGCGGGCAGAACCCATTGGATTTCAAGTCCAACTCCTTAACCACTCGGACACCGCAGCTCCGCCAGGTTCAGGTGTCACATTAATGTCTATAATGTCAAAAAATCGATATTTTTATACAAATACCGATTTATTGAAATGGATGTTTTTTAACATTGATGGTTCGGGTTCGATGTTTTTACTTGATATTTTCTTTTTGAATATATTTAAAAACGACAATAATTTGCTCTTATCCATAATTTGAACATTCTTCAGGCTCAAGTCCCCAAGAGAGGAAAATTATTTACTCGAATCTTTGCTCATAATTGTAGTTATAATTTTTTATTAATTAATAAGGTAATTAAGTTTTTTAATTGTTCTGAAATGTTTGGAGTTTATTTTGTCAATTAAACATCCATTGCAAGTTAATAAACACAAACACCATGACGTGAACTTGCCTCGCCCCACCACGTCATGTAAGTGCCAGAAATAAAAGTTCTTCTTCAAAAAACGTTAGGACAAAAGGACAAAGACGCCTCAAGAAGATTACAAAAAAATTACCATCAATCATCTCAGAACTAGTCTTGCCACCGAATGACGTTATCGTGCTAGTTAGTTTTTTACTCGTAATCAGTTTAGTCTGGGTTAGCTTTGCGGTTTTGCCGTACCCTCTTCCAAGCTGGCATCTTGCTCATTTTTGGCTCCCTTAATGGAATAACTAAATTAGGATTTTAAGAGTATTATAGAAGAGTTAAATTTAGGCCTACATACAAATTTTCGTTGAATGAATTGCAGCCGTTTTTGAGGGAATCTTGTTTGAGCATTTTTGATTTAGATTTAGATTGTTTTTGAATTCTTTAGAAACTTAACTGGTAATCACTTTAAGCATTTCTATTTACAAATGCAATAATGTATACAAAACTCCAGTATTGTAAATATTGTCAACTTGAGAGATATTTCCAGATAATTACGTTTGTGTTATTAAAAAATGCAGCAAAATGGCTTTTAAATCATCTTATAGAGTACATTTAGCACTACACGTAAAAAAGATGTTTTAAAAAATGGCGTCATTTTCGTGAAAATAGGGTTTTAACGTTTCTGAAATTTTAGAATATTGAGCTAATCTTCAGAAAAACGTTTTGAATCTTTGAGAAACATTTCTTCTGCTGTATGAATGTGCCGGGAATCAGCTAGAATATATAAATGGACGTTGGTTTGTTCGAGATCGATAAACTCCGGCTCCGATTGACCGATCTCCAAGAAAGGTGGCACATCTTCGTATTTTTTCATGGAAGAGGTGAAGAATGAATTTCAAAAGAAGCCTTTATTTGGCAAACAAACTGAGATCGTTCCGTATTCAGTACTGCGAGAATAAAATGAAGGTGAAAGAACACAACTCTTTAGCAAATCTGCTGATGCCCTTGATAAAGCTTCGCGTTTAAAACTTGAGAAAATCTCTAATTGCCAGGGTACTATAAAGTTTAAAAAAACTATGAATCGTTTAATTGATGTTTTTAATTCATGCATCATGTTCCAGTGCTCCCGGAAGAAGCCAGTGACGAGTGCTAACGCCTATGACATGTTTAAAGTTCTTTTTGCAAAAGGTTATACTCGTATGTTAGGTTAATGAATTGTAGATACTATTGCGCATATGGAGAAATCTAATCGACATGATTTTTTCGTGAACATTCAAAGCCTGCAACAGCTTGGAACAACGTATGTAAATCTTGCAGCTTGTATTCCAGTGTTAAAATATTTACCATTTACAAGGTTTCTCTAGACTCATCTCAAGTTCTCTCAAGACTATCTGGAGATGGTATTCAGTTTTCTCAGAAGGTGAGGAGGCTGGAATAAACCCATTTGTAAGACATTTGTCTTCTTTTAAGAAGTGCTTTTAAGAACTAGTACAGAACGATCTTGGATAATTTCGTAAGGGAAACTGTATGCCTTTGGATTGTGTTCTATTTCTGTCTGTTATAGCACTACATTATCAGCAGAACATAAGTTGAACATGTCGACAACCAGTGTGGACAAAATTGAGGAACATCTGGAGAATGTTAAGAGTGAATTTCTTGTAGACAATGACTATTTTGAGCTATGAAGTGTAATGGAATGTATTAGTGTGTACATTTTCGGTTTTGTGGTTAAGAGTTTTGAAAGTGCCCTTCAGTGGAGTGTATTAGTGAATTAAGGGGTTAGGAGAATCATGAAGGGTTTTCTTTATTTTATAGAAAACGAGAGGAAGATTATACCTTCAAACGATGTGGAAGAAGTGCATATTACTGCAGAAGAGATATTTAGATGAAATACTTCTGTAAAATTCCCTCCCTTCTTAGTAAACAGTGTTACAGTAAGGAATGGAAACAAATATTTCCAAACCCTCCATGAACTTATGAAGGAGTAAGTGTCTGACAACCATTTATATTTTCACGTCAAAGCAACAGCCAGTCCATAATATAAAACAGGATTGACAACGGCAGTAAATTTAGCTAATAAAAACACATGCACTCACAAAAAACATGAAGTTGTTAGACTCAAAGAACTGACACATGTTTCTGTCTGTATGTCGACGCGCCGAATCTGTATTTGAAGTCAGAATTGTATGATCACCCTCCAGCTGTGTTTATTTTTAAATCGGGAAAAACTACCGTGAAATTTACAATTTAAAATTTAACTGTGTTTTTTGCAAACAAATAGCGAAATGACGTTAGGTATTGGATATAAATGGTTAAGGAAAGCATGGTTCCAGATAAATATCAGATGTACCCTCATCTGCGGTATATTATGGACGTCCCTTTGTATTAATCGTAAAACAAAATGACATGCCGAATCAGAAGGCTTAGTATATAGTAATTCCAACAGATGGTGGGCAAACCAATTTTCCGAAAAAGTCGACGTTGTACAACACTTATGTTTTGTTATCGGTGCTATGCTCCTTGGCAACCAACCATCTCAACAACGCATTAAGGATGAGCCCATAGAAACGGCCGTTAAAATATTCGAGTCCATTAAAAATATTTTTGTGGACTCTCGGGTTTAGATTTTACCAATGCTCATAAATCTTTGGATAAATATGTCACTTTTGTCCCACTTCTCCCCTTTGTCCCTTTTGTCCCATTTCGTCTCTTTCGTTCCCCATGTTCCATTTGTCCACTTTATCACCTTGACCCTTTGGCCCCCTTTCCCGTTTGCCCCATTGGCTCAATTTGTCCTCATTGTCCTGTTTTGCTCCGATGTCCCCCTTGTTCCATTTGCCCCATTTTGTCACCTTGTCATATTTGCCCTTTGTTCCATTTTGTCCCTAAATCTCGGCCCCCGTGTCCCATTTTGTTCCCTTGCCTCATTTTGTCCACCTGTCTACATTGTTTAAATAGTCTCCCTTTTCCCATTTTGTCCCTTTCTTCCCTTTTTCCAATTTTGTTCATTTAGCCCTCATTGTCCCCTTGACCTCTTCGTTCTTTATTCTCCACTTTCCCTTTTGTTCTTCCAACGCCTTGTCTTATTTACCCCATTTCCCCACTTATCCCATTTTGTTCCCTTGCCCCATTTGTCCCATTGGGTACCAGTTTGTCCCATTTCCCTCTTGTCCCATTATGTCCCCATTGTTTAACGTGCCCCTTTGTCCCATTTTGACTCTTTCCTCCCCTTTTCCAATTTTGTCCATTTGTCTCTATTGTCCCCATCTTCGTCCTGCTTTCCCCGCTTAGTCCCATGTGTCCCCCTTTGTCCTTTTGGTTCTTCCGTGCACTGCAATTGTAATTAAAAACGGTACTAAGATCCGGTACTAACAACTCTTCCTATAGAACGTCGAGAATAATGAAGATTTTTAACTCGTGAAAGTGTCAAATGGTTATTTTAATATCTAGAAATAATAAGAAAAACATTATACGAGTACATTGTACATTTCGTACGAAAACATTGTACATTTCGTATGTAACATGTCCTCTATTACTCTTTAAGGAATAGGGCTTGAATACTAATTTAGAGGACATGTTACATAAATAACTGTTATGAAATATATTATCAAACATTTTATTTGCGCTTCATAGGAATCCTTTTATAAAAACTCTGACCGCGTGCGAGAGGCAGGCGGATGTGTAGAGCGGGGACGGGGGAGGCCGCCCTATCCTCACGTGAAGAGCTCGCACAGGAAGGGATAGACGCTCGTACACCACTCGTCGTTGATCCCTAGGTTGGGTTCGAGGGTGCCGCAGTTCTCGATGTTCAAGCCCAAGTGGTTGGGCTCGCCCGGTGCCCACATGTCATAGCCCGTCGACGACACGTCATCACCTGGAACGCATTTGCCCTTTCAGTTTCTTGAGCCAACAACTTAATGAAGTCTGGACGCACATGTTTTCAAAATTATTAAAAAATGGAGTTTTACGTTGTCCGTGCGAATGAAATGTCTTCTCTTTGGATTAGAAATGATTGTTTCGCGTAATATGCAATCTAATATTTGTAGGATGTGTTTGCATACGTACCTAACACAGTTATGAATGTTCCTTTCGTGGTCACATCAAACATCCCTATGTGCAGTTTAGTAGAAAGATTGTACTTGTTCAAAAAGCCGCTAGCCAAATTAGCTTCATCCTGAAAAATGAATACAAATGGAAGCAAAAGTTCGTGAAAATGTCTTTTAATTTGTTCTATTATTTATTAATTTATATCCAAACACGGCTTTCATTCCAGTAGGAGTCACTTATAAACTACAAAATGTTCGTTCTGGGCACAAACTCGACTCGTAATGGTTCAGTCCCATGAACATGCCTGAGATTTTAAATAAATACAAAAAACTACTCGTTCATTCAATGTCAATATCAATGAGATATATTAGCTTATTATTTAAATATAAAACAAGAAATAAATAAATTATTTTTGTTCTAGTACTCAGAACTAAAAGGCGTACGCTTCACATACTACAAGTTTCATGCAAGTCGGAAACCTTCAATACTTATTTTTCCAATTTTGTATCAAAACGGGGCCGCTACTGGAATCGTTACCCTACTACCTACCATTTTGAAAAAAAAGTTTCGAAACATATTTCTGACGTATTTTCAAATGCAGAAATATGTCGTTTCAAAAAGTACCAACCTATGTATGTTATTTATATTTAGATGCTGTCCCTTTAGATGCTGCTGCGTGTGAACACGCAGTGAGAACGTACATGATCTAAATGATCTTAGGCATTGGAATACGAGTGCGATCAAATTTAGATGACGACCCAGACGACTTTTCCCTACAGTCCACTGAACATGGCATTGCCTCTAGGTAATACAAACCGTAAAAAGGGAGAAGAGATAGATTAAACGAGACATAAATAGAGAGGCAGAGAGTGAGAGTGAGAGTGAGAGGTTGAGAGTGAGAGGTTGAGAGTGAGAGGTTGAGAGTGAGAGGTTGAGAGTGAGAGGTGAAGAGTGAGAAGGTTTGAGAGTGAGAGGTTGAGAGTGAGAGTGAGAGAGTTGAGAGTGAGAGGTTGGAGAGTGAGAGGTTGAGAGTGAGAGGTTGAGAGTGAGAGGCTGAGAGCGAGAGGCTGAGAGCGAGAGGCTGAGAGCGAGAGGCTGAGAGCGGAAGAGGCTGAGAGCGAGAGGCTGAGAATGAGAGGTTTAGAGGGAGAGGCTGAGAGGGAGAGGCTGAGAGGGAGAGGCAGAGGCAGAGTGGGAGACATGAGAGAGAGAGAGGGAGACAGAGGGAGACAGAGGGAGACAGAGAGGGAGACAGAGAGGGAGACAGAGAGAGGGAGACAAGAGAGAGGGAGTCAGAGGGAGGCAGAGAGGGAGGCAGAGAGGGAGGCAGAGAGGGAGTCAGAGAGGGAGTCAGAGAGGGAGACATGAGAGATAGGGAAGGAGACATGAGAGATAGGGAAGGAGACTTGAGAGAGAGAGAGAGTGAGAGTGAGAGGCTGTGAAACAGTCAGAGGGAGGAATAGGCTGAAGGATTCACTCTCAGTAACCTCCCTGTAAGCAGGCTGGCGAGGACTCACCGGGGAGTCGAGGACGACGAGGTAGCCGCCCTCGTCCTCGCAGGAGGCTTTGGCCTCGTTCCAGTTCTTGCTCTCGTAGTGCATCTTGTAGTATCCCAGGTCCCCGTACTGCCTGTAGCCGGGCGGGATGTGGCGCGCGCACGCGGGCGCGGCGGGGCACGCCGGGCAGCCGGGGCAGGCCGGGCACACGGCCGGGCACGCCAGCGCGTCGCGGGCGGTGCCCAGGAACGGGCTCTCTGGTCACACACAAACACATGTGCACAACACACAGTGCTCCACGCTTTCGCTCATTTTACAAGTCCGTTATTACAGAGAGATACATGGATTGTAGACCAAGAAAGAGAAAGTTACGTAATGCTGCTGAAAATTAATTTTGAGATTTTAACGGAAATGCATGTAATTTTCGAAAATTCTCCACGCGACATTTCGTGACTCTTAAGTAACGCAAAAAATGGGACTGGGACGTCTTGAGACTTTCCATCTCTGATTACCTCCACTCCATAGCGATGAAATGCTTGATGCGGCATATCAACTCTTGTTAAGCTTCGAGGTCGTCGCCTCCCAATTACGTTTACCGAAATAAGGGAGGTAAGGTGTAAACTTTGTTCATGTCTGGGACTCAAACTGTTAAAGTGACTTAATATCGTAATTTTCTCATCATTTGAAATTGTATCAAGGCATCTGATGTTTCTCGAAAACTCGAAACTGCACTCATTAATAAAAATGTATTTTTTGAAGTGCGCATATTACACAAATGTATTTTTTTGTTTTCACACGTCATTACGGGTGCTTTGCATTACGAGCGTTTTTATACATTATTGCATTTGTGGCAAAATTGCTTAAAATTATTTCATATTAGAAAGTTTCTCAAAAATCATAAGTTTTCTGTAAAAATGATCTCAAATTTCCCCTTATTGAACTGAAATATTGAGAAAATGTCTTTTAGGGGTCAATAGATAACCGCAAGGAAGAGAGGACGAAACCCAAAAGCTAACTCAGAATAAAGGGTTAAGGAAACTAAACAGTGTGAGAAAGTCTTTGTTTATGTCTGGCACATAAACTGTTAAAGTGACTTAATATCGTAATTTTCTCATCATTTGAAATTGTATCTAGTCATCTGATGTTTCTCGAAAACTCAAAACTGCACTCATTAACAAAAATCCTCCAGCCTAAATGACGTCTCTGAGCTAAATTCAAATCTCCTGTTTCTCGCCCTAGAAATACCTCCTCTCTCTGCTAGTTGATGAAAGGAGCGTATCGAAATTTGCGTGGTCAGACGGAAGAGCGAGCCTGATGGCCCGAGTCTCGCCACGTAAAATAAGGCAAATTCAATTCAATTCAATTCAATTCAATTCGAAGTCTGTTCCACTGTGTAACACCACTAGTTTTGATCTTGTGCATCAAAACTTACAACATCTGACATTTTACACTTCGATGCATGAACGTGAGAATATGTTAGATGGGAAATTTCGTAAACAATTTTTGCAACTAATCACCTTAATTTTGATGAGTAATTATCTTGGTCATTAGTACTCGGGGAGGCTACAACAGAAGTGTCGGGTACGATGTAATTTTGTATGTAATTTTTTGAGGATTCAGTTTTTCTCAAATTATCCTTCCAAAAATGATTGCTGTAATGTAAAATACGAAGATTTTCTTGTGGACCATGCAATCTTATTGTGGAAAATAAGAAAATGCGAACGGCGAAATATGACTCTACCAGTAATAATCGCGTAATTTATCTGATCCTCGGTCATACTTTGTCGAAGTACAGTATAGTAAAGAATATTTACACTTGAAAAAATACTGTTGTTAATATGGTCCCCAAAGATAAATATTAAAATTGTGTAATGAAGTGTACTGGACATTTTCTAACTTTCTAAATAATTTTCTAATCAACAGGTAGAAATATAAAAAACCACAAATGGCTCGATTATGATTCCATGAAGAGTTGGTGAGCAACTGACATCACAAAATACGCAGATCTTTCGGCATCTCGTCAGGAGAGATTTTACCAGGAAAAGTTGAGGACATCATACCGTACAGATGAACTGCTCTAGGACGGACGATTTTCCGCAAAATTTTCGAACAGTTCTTGAGAAACACTAAGTTGACGACGATGTGGCTCATGATTTCAGAACGCGATGAAAAGTTGTGTGTATCAATGAGAAAAACCTCAATGGACTGGTGATGTCCCTGCACCAAAACTCAACACTAAGAGGTAGAAAATGTGTTTGTAATTAGACAAGAGAGAGGTTGTGGAACCAATGTCGGGAAGTTGAGCTCGGACTAAGAGTATTGCAAGGCAGGGATACGGAAAAGTTCTTCGACATTTAAAGCCTGCTGTACACGATCATTTTTTCATTTTTCGTCGGTACATAAAAAATACAAACCAGAATTGATGTTCCAGATTTGTACCTTAAAAACGACGCATGCTTAATTTTTCGGTACAGATTTCACCCAATTTGACTTCCATGCTCCTGGCAGCACTTTACGGGACTTTCTTTGATTTGCAATGCGTGTAGAGCAATATGTTCATTTTGTAGTTGCATGAGAGCGTTTTGATGTGTTGAATTGTAATTGGAAGTGGTTATGTGTAGTAAGAAGTAAAATATGTACTATATTCTAATATTGTCACATCCGTGCTCGTACCTAATATAACCTAACGTAATTTGTTACCACAGATGCGATGTTCAAATGTTTGAATTTCAGTGCTATATGCGGCGTCCGGAGGAAATATTTTTTTCATGATTACGTACAAAGACAGAAATGACCGTGTAAAACGGTGGAATCACTCTCATCCAATTTCGGCACCTAAACATACTGCGCAGAAACGTACGTCCTTTTTCCATCCACTTACTGTACACAAAAGTTAAGAAAAAAGTATGCAAAAATGACTGTGTAAAACAGGCTTAAGAAGCATTGCCTTTTGGACACGTGGGACATCAGTGCAGGTTCCGAGGCAGACGTCCTCGGCTGACTAAGCTTTGGCGAGTTGCTTTAATTTCACATGAACATTAGGTTTTGACTCTGTTTTGAAGAGATTGTTCATTTGATGGCCCTCAGTATTGAAGTTTAAACGGTGTTGGAACGTAATTTATTAATAGTATTAGCGAAATCGCTCGCTATTGTTACCTGCTGTGCTGTTCTGATCAACTTCTGAAAACTCTGACTCTTGACTCCTGGTGTTAGCTGGCCCCCAGGCCAGGAGCAGCAAAACCTGAAGCAGGGACACTCTTCATTAGTGAGTTACAACAGCTGTCTTATTAATTGTTAGTGAACTAATTAAGACACGTTACGTGGAATGCCCTACGTCACTGGAGCAAGACAGAATGACAGCCTGCTCTGGCATTGATTGCTAGTTCGTCTAACACTATCTCTGTACAACAAACATCTATTTATGTGAGGTCTTATTATCTTTGCAATAACGGCACCATTTTGCTATCGAGTGTTTAACTCTCCAGCAATGGGAAGCTGTATCGCTTCATCTTCTTAGTTTGTTCAAATGTTGCTTGATGTTCACAGGGAGCTCATGTCTCAGGGAACAGGTATCTCAGAGAAATGTTACAAACTTCTAAGCCATGTAGGGATATCGAAGATGATCACGTATTTTCAGTGAACTTGTGGTCTGAAATTTCATATAAAGAAGTTTCACATATGAAATTTGACCCTGATGGTTGAGCAATCCTGCATGCACCATCGTTTGGCAGGTACACCAACAAAACTTCTTTGTCTTCTTCAGAACGTGACGTTTGCAACACAAATACATATTGAAGTTGCTTAACAAATAGGTGCAAATGTCACAGAGAAACGTTGTTGTTTATTGGCAAAATGAAATCATCTTCGATCACCTTGCACGCCTTAAAGGTTTGCATGATCTATATACTAAGACATGTGTAGGGACATTGGTTATGAACCCAAATTTCCATTGTTTCTTAAACGGTACGTTACTTTTAATGTCAACGATAGATTTATCCAACCAGGTAAAATCTTTCAGAGAATCGTTAATTTACTGGTGAGAGGTTTACTGAATTTGAAGTAATACTTATTGACTGCACCAATATCTTCTGCTATTGCGGGAGGATTTATCTCTGCACACAGAAGAGAAAGAAGCATTGCAAATATGTCATTATATCTCGATTTGAAACTATTTTGGAAATTTTTAGACAATAGAAATATTTTTACAAAACTTGCCAAAACCCAAATGTTACAGTATATTAATATCTCTAATTAAATATAGCGTTTAAAATTGCATTTACCACACTATACACCTTGGCAATTACATAAACGTATGAAACTGTTTAGGCAAAATCTGGGTGCCTGAATGAATTCCTGAAGTATACTGTAATAGTTGAAAAGCTATGCATCTTGCATATATTTAAAGTTTGTGATATTTTTCGGACTTTGTTACCGTCAGGGATATCTGTATTTAAACTACTTCGTGGTAGCACTTCTATAGTATTTTTACTAACAGAAATCTAACCAATACCCAATACAACACGTACCTGTATTACTAATTTCCAACGTGCGCAGAAATTGAAGGAAACGTGTACAATCTCCGGACATTTAAGATATGTTACTGTTTTCTTAGGTACGCATGAACTTAGGGAAAATCCAAAAAGAATGAAATCTGATGTTTATTGAAAATTGCAAATGTAGGATTGTGTTTTCTCGCCTATTCTCGAACTGCCAGTACCAATTGAATTCTTATTCCCGATTCTCTAAATGATTATTCTTTACGGTCAAAGCACTAAGGCACCAAGAAAGACGTCTCTCACTATTAAATATTTGCTTTTTACTTGTTGTATTATGAAAAAGTAATTTTGTTGATATTCTTGTTATGCAAAGAATTGTTATACTATATATGTTATAAGTTATCCCAGTAATCGTGAAAAAGGTTTTGTTAAAAAAGTTAAATTATTGCAGTGTTGGAGGAGGGTATTTTATTTGTTGCTTTTGAGGAGTGTGTGTGCTACTTTTTTGAAAATTGTTTTGTGTACTTCCGTTCAGCAGAATTTTTGTTTCTGCAGGCCAGTAATATACACAGTTAAATATAGCACGAAAACCGTAAATCTATAAAATAGCTGAAAACCATAGCACTTACAACGCTGCGATGGATTTCTTTCTATTTGTAATTAACTCAAGATCTCAGCCCAAATGAGAAACACTTTGAAATGTGCAGCTTGAGCTGAAAACATATCTCACTCTTCGGCCTAACTGTCGTTTCGGTCTAGGCATAACTGTCATTTGATAATGCAGTTTTTCTGTTGTTCTTTATTCAATAAACAAATTCTTTTAAATGTGTGAACTTGGGGGGTGAATTGCGAAAAACCTAAATATTTTAAAAGTTCCGAGTCATCGAGTTTTCGATAAGTTTCGAAAACCATTTTCCAATAATTTAAACATCACAAAAAATTAAATTCAAAGTAGTAAAAAACAAGGGGTGTAGGCAAAACACGGAAAAATCTAAAAGTTTTCAAGGGAGGTAAAAAGTTTTAATAATTCTAAAAAATCAGAAAGAAACTCATAACAACCAAATTATTGAAAAATTAATTTTCATTTCCCAACTTAGAACAAAACATACTAACAAACGTGCATCATGATTATCGAAGACACGACAACTATATTAATTACCATTTTTGGGCGCGTTAATAGTATTTGTCCCGTAAGTGTAGTTTCACGCCTTTATCGCGAGAGGTGTCTGTGATATTTCCCTGCTGGATGGCGAGATCCGGTGCCGATCTACATGTCGGATCACGTCGTTTTCCCCAACCAGGTATCTCCCACCGTCGTTGCCCCAGCGGAACAATCCCTAAGCTCCCGACTTGTCTCCCGACATATGTGATGGTGAATAAGCCCCCAGGTCAGAGGCACTCCAGTGAAATCAGTTGTCACCCTGAGCCACCTATTCGAAATCAGTCGGGAGCTTATAGAACCAATTCTAACTGGGACGGAACTCTACTGACCGTAGCAACTGACGTGCCCGAAAACATCAACCACTTGAAAGATGAAAGTGCAAAAACGGCAAAGTGTTTCTTCGTAAGGCTGAAGCGTCGGCAGTTGAACTCACCGCCACCGAGGCTGAGTGCATTGCAGCGTGCGAGGGTGTCATCTCCGTTGCCGTTCGGGAGACTGATGCAGCTGCTCGACACAGAGAGTATATATATATCAGGCCGCCGACCTCAATTACTCCATTATTGTCTCTTACAGGTCGACCATGGAAAAACAGAAACCGTGCTACACTACTCGTTGTTACAGGGGTGACTTTCCTCCTCTCAAACATGGCGGAGACGAGAAAATAACATCTGGATCAACACTTGTCGAGGCCATCGGTTTGTCGTAAATATTGTGTATGAGAGTGCGTTATCCAATGTGCAAATATTTTTTTCACGTCATTAAATTCGTAATGTTTAACTAAGCGAGCACGTAATTATGTAACAGTAATTTGTTTAATTTAACAAAATAATTAGAATGGAGCCTTTTGATGTATATGCGGACTCTCATTTAGTTCAGATTCTACATCGCAGCTGTCTCTCCAGCAATTCTTACCGTGGATTTAGAGTTCGTGACCTAATAGCGTAATTTCGACACTAGCTACTTAGCTAGGTCGAAGTTCAGGAAAAAGGAAAATATGATAACTGCGACGAGAAGACACAGATATTCGCAGCGGTCCGAGGCGGCGCCATAACGGGGTCCTACTGACAGGGAGGTGACGCGATTTGCCAAACAATTTTGTAACAAGGCCAAGACTTTTAATTAATTATTTTTTTGTAAATGCCCATTATAACCAATTAACTACTATAAGAGTGCACTGACGTGAATGAAATATAGATTAAATATGTATGAATGAGTGAATGTTATTTGGTTCTATAAAATTCCACTCGTCCTTTCCAAACTCTCAGATAAATCACCTCCTCGCTTCGCGAGTCGGGGATTTATCGACAGTTTATTATTGCGTATTACCTATGATACTTTTCAAAGCACGAGAGGTACTTAATGGGACTATTCCACGAATGAAGCCCAACAAAGTTCCAAAATACGCCATATATAGTACATAACTGAAATCATGTTAAAATCAAAGAGGTTATGTTGTAGTAAATTTGTGGTTAAGGCTAAATGCACCGAAAAATACTTGTAGGAAAATTCAATAGATCGCAGCACTATCACAGGGGAATTTACTTTACTGATAACGTCTGAATCAATGATCCGATTTTCGATTTGTAAACGGCATTTGACGCCTTTTTAAAATAGAATTTACTCTACGATGACCTTTGTCCAAAAATCTAGGAAAAACGCTAATTTGAAATTAGTTCTTAAACTTTCGAGAACAAATTTTAAAATGTGGCTTTATAGCGCGATGGCGACATGCTTCCTGAATCCAACGCCGTGACAATCATGCAAATCGGACGAATAGGAGCGTTGTAAAGTGAAATTTACGAAAACACCTCGCCCCTCCCCCACTTCCCCTTCTGCGCCGTTGCGTCACCCACCCACCCGTTGTGAGCCCTCTGTCAGCGCGGTGGCACGGCCAGGCCCGGCGTCGTTCGGCCAGCCCCGACGGACGGACGGAGGAGGCGGTACTTGCGGGAAACGCAAGCCACACACTCTGTTTATGCGTTCGTCACTTTGCATCTCAATATATTTTTCCACGGATATCGAACTACAGATTCTATACTACTACTACAGATCGAGGTAAAAGGTCTGTAAT